AGCTTTGGTTTGGACAGGGGGCTGACTAGGCAGGGACAAGGTTATATTAACTAAGAGGCAGATTCTAGGTCTTGAGGGCGAGGAAGTAGTGAGCATATTTCCTAGGATCCATTCCTCGTCGGAGCCTAGGCAGATTCGTTTCCCGACTCGGCTTCTAGAACGGATGCATGGATTGTCTTCTTGGTAGGGCAATTCAAGGCGATGTGGTTAGCGCCACCGCAATACAGGCAAAGACCCATATCTCTGCGGCGCTTTTTCTCTTCGGGTGTGAGACGTCGGGCACGCATGGCATCTACATCCATTGCCATAGATGGAGCCGCTGGGGCCGGAGTAGTGGTGCTCACTGGTGGGGGACGTCGGGCTGGTGGTGTCTGATGCTTGAAAGACTCGAAGCGGGGCCGCTGGCGACGATGTGATGACAGATTTCTATAGGCGTCGATTGCCGCGGTCTGCACCTCATGTACGGTCTTGAACTTAGACCACTGTGGCAAGAGCAGGCCATGGATTTCACTTGATAGACCTTTCTTGAAACGGGCCTTGAGGGCTCGGTCGTTCCAGCCACTGCGGGCGGCGAGGCGGCGAAACTCTGTTACATATTCGATCATCGAACCGGATTGACGGATGCAGGATAGTTGATGTTCAACATCTTCCTGCTCGAGATGGTCTCCGAAAAATTCTTCTAATGTCTCGATAAATACTTCGTAGGAAGTCAGGACTCCGGAGTCATCTTCGATTTCTCCATTGATGTACGGAGCAAAGTGCCGAGATGCGTCACCATCTAGGCACTGCAGGGAGTAGTTAATCTTTTCTTCGTCGTTGGATAGGGCGTCAGGAAAACGTGCGAAGACAATTTGTAGACGAGCACGAAAATCTGAGAGGGACAGCTCATCGCTGTTTCCCTTAAACTTGGTAGTGAGGGGTTGCGGGATAGCAGTACGTGGCGTAGGAGCTGTGGCTCGATTTGCAAGTCGGCTCAGAATAGAGTGCATATCTCTTTCGAAGGAGCGCTGCATATTTCTCTGTTCTTGATGCTGGGATGCAAGGGTCTCGATGGCGCTACGTAGGGTGATTAGCCCTGCGGGGTCAGGATTACTGTTCAGTTGGGCGTGCTGTTGGTTCACTACATCTCGGATATTCTGGATTTGCTGCTGCATTCCGCTAACGGCTTCAGCATGGGACTGGAGATGAGCCAAGACTTGACGGGGGTCTACATTAGGATCTTGGGCAAGTTCTTCTAGGGCTCGTGGTGTATAGATTTCAGGATGGGGGTTCTGGGACATGATTGTGAGATTGGGTTAACAAGGGAAAAATATAATTTGCTTAGGATAAGAGTGGGCAGAACAAGAATTTGTGGAGTCTGCAATGTCAAGGACTGACAAAGGGTTTGCAAGGAAAGGTAAGTGAATGAATAACAAGAATGATAATGAGCTGAGAACTAGAATGGATTCACGAATAGTTTTATTGCAGACTGAGGTTTACTATGTTACAAATCTATCATATTTATACTTGTTTGACTGAAGCGGAGACGCGCTTCAAGAACTCTAAATAAAGCCTACTCAAATATTTCCTAAGGACTTTTACCATATGCGGAACTTCAAGTGTTGAGTTAACTTAATACACAGGATCCGAGGAAGATATCTGGTGCAATCTTATTTCAAGGTTCCTTGGCACTATAAGCCTTGGTTATTGGTTTATAGCTCTTCTAGAATCCTTGGAGCTATTCACGGAGCTAGAAAACTAGGAGACGCGACTTGGCTTGACAGGCAAACTATGCATGGAGGAATGAGTGAAGGAAATGAGCGGAACAAATTAATCAAGCACACGTGATCTTTTTCAGATTCGAATCAGACAAAAGTCATTCATCAATTCATGAGCTAGACATTGCTTGCTGTTCGTGACAGAGTACATGCCTGTCAATAAAGGCGGTCGACCAAGGAAAGTACCTAGAGGTATCATGCAGTATCTTAAGGTGAACATGAAACGAGGTACACTCAAGTCTGCAGTTGAGGCCACCGTCAGAGCCAACCAGCTCATACCAGCGGCTGTTTCTGAGACCACCGTTAGACGACGGCTCAAGGAGTTAGGATTGACAGCAAAGAGGCGTGTACATAAGCCAGCTTTACGTCGACGGCATATTAAAGCTCGTTTGCATTTTATCAAAAAGTATAAGGAATGGACTCTGGAAGATTGGAAAAAGGTTATTTGGTCAGATGAATCGAAAATAAACCGAATCTGCTCTGATGGCGTGCAGTGGATCTGGGACGACAACCCGGGACGCCTCACTCGCAGGTCGGTGCAAGGCACTGTCAAGTTTGGGGGTGGTAATGTTAAAGTGTGGTCATGCTTCTCATGGTACGGACCTGGATACATTGCAAAGATTGACAATAATATGGACGCACAACTTTACATCAAACTACTGCAGGAGGATCTACAGATGTCGCTTGATGACTGGGGCCTAACTAAAAGCGATATCGTCTTTCAGCACGACAATGACTCGAAGCACACGGCGAAGATTGTTAGGAAGTATTTGGAGTCAGTACATCTGACAGAAGAGGAAGGTACACTTCTAGAGTGGCCAGCACAATCCCCTGACCTCAACCCTATTGAACACATGTGGGCAGAATTGGATAGGCGGCTCTCTAGGTATCCGGAGCGAGCTAAGAGCTGTGATGAACTATGGGAGCGAATATCGGTTGAATGGTACAGGATCCCAGTGGACTTCTGCCGCAAACTCATCATAGGTATCCATAAGAGACTCCAAGCTGTCAGTGATGCCCATGGTTGGAATACTATCTATTGATGTAAGGTTATGCCTCACAAAAGAATAAAGATCTTTGGCCACCGAATGGGCACATGTGAAACTGATTCAATGACCTGCATGAACAAAAAAGTCATTAGCTATTCAAATGAGACAAGCTAATGTCACAACGCATCACTATGACGTAGAAGAAGACGGGAGCTTTATTAAACCAAAGTATGAGTGGTGTATGCATATACGGTTTCTAGGAATGAAAAAAAGAAATGCACATGGGAATGAATTATTGAATCAGTTTTGCATGATAGTGTATAAGGGCAAATATTGTTAGCCAGCCCCAAAGGCCGCATATGTGTAGCACTTGCAAGCGCCCAGGACATAATCGAAGTACATGTCCGAGTGCTGAAAGGTGGGCTCTACGTACTTTAAATATTTCATTAATCATACTCTTCCTCGCCATCGATTTGACTTTATAACGGATTATTACTGTCCATTGATCCATTGATTTAGCAGCCACATCCAAATGAAGCCAATCATGGAGCAGTGCGCGAGCGAAGCTTTGACCATGACCTTGATATCGAAAGTGAGAGACCCACACAAAGGCGAAGGTGAGCTACATTTTGTTCTCTCTTTATTTCCTTTTTTTATTTTTATTTTTTATTTTTTATTTTTTATTTTTTATTTTTTATTTTTTTAATTTTTTTAATTTTTTCGTACTATATCATATTATATGCATTTTATGTAACATCAGTCTTCAGTTACTCATTAAGCAGATATTTCCGGATATCGAAAATGCTAGACTCCTTCCTGAGATGCTCATTGAGCGCGCTATCTTGAGTTCCCTTAATGAGGATGTCGATAAACTGAATCAACTAGCCACCAGTATGCTCTGTAGCACCCAGCAGTCAGTCAGTTATATTGGTCAAGATAGCCTTCAAGACCCCGAAGCAGCAGCTACGGCTCACTATCCTGTGGAATACCTGAACAACCTTTCCCCGCCAGGCTTGCCTCCGTTTAAACTGGAGCTAAAGGTTGGTCAGCCCGTCATCCTTCTTCGCAATTTGAACCCAAAGCGCGGACTATGTAATGGTGCTCGCATGATTGTACGTGCATTAGGCACAAGAATGATCCAGGCCGAGATTATGAAAGGACAATTTCAAGGAGAGTGTGTCTTTATTCCTCGCATACCGCTTACGACACTTAATGATCATTCTTCTCCGATCATGTTCTGCAGACGACAATTTCCAGTCCAGCCTGCCTTCGCCATGACCGTCAACAAGTCCCAGGGACAGACACTCAAACATGTTGGTGTTTATCTTCCTCAAGATGTTTTCAGTCATGGTCATCTCTACGTTGCTTTGTCACGGTGTACAGACCCAAATAATCTTAAGGTACTTATCGCGAACGGCAAGGTAAGAGATAGGCTAGGAACATACACACGGAACATTGTCTTCAAAGATGCTTTATAGCCACATTGTCTTTTGATTGCCATTTACTGCGTTACCTCCTCGCCGTCGTTAATCTATCAAATGTTGTGATTACCAGATATTCTCCCTCTTGATTGTAGTTTCGTCTGTATTTTATTTTGTATATTTTGTATTCTACTGTATTTTAGCTTTGTATTTTAGTTTTGTAATAAAAAAAACGTGCAGTTTACACATAATTTTTACAGTAGTAAAAGGCCAAAGGCCTACGTGAGTTTATTGTCTTCATTCCTATGTCAAAATATAAACCTTTTGCTGCTGTAGACAATGTTTCTTTTTGTTGTCTTACGAGGCTAAGCATTGAATTTTCTAACGAGGCAAGAGCCGACCGTGGCGAAGCCACGGTCTCCGGCTCGTATGTCAATAAATTCATTGAAGTTTAATTTATTAATGTGATGATTTAAAATTTTCAAAAGCTCAGATCAAATCATAACAATTAGATCCTCATCCTAATTCTAATCGGCATCCTCATCACATTCTAAGCATTATTAAAATGTCATTCCACAATTCTCGCCGTATCTCATCTGGGTCATTCACCCGTGATCCACTCGACACCCCGTGCCGTCGCTATCACCAAGTTTCCCTATATTAATTGTGTGATAGTCCCTCTCCCTTGCGCGGCCCCGGAAGACGGAGCCCGAGAGCTTCACCAACGGACCGTTGGATGATGGGGAGGTCGTCTCGACGCTCTTCGGATCGAAGCGCAGATTTCAGCCGATCTCCCACGGTCACAACCCCTTTGTCGCTGCGCTCATGGCGGCATGCGCCCAACGCTCTCTGAGGGCCAGGATAATCATCCTGCTCCGATCAATGATAATCTCTTCCTCGTTGTGCCAATTGCACCAACACGTAATAAAGGGTGCGTGACTGAATACGAGTATAGAATGGCCGCAAACGTTTATGCTGTCCTATTTAGCGCTCCAGAGACTGTTCAAAAATGGATCAGGGAAACATTTGGGACAGACACGAGTGTGTGCAGCTATCTAAGCTTACAGGTATTAATAGACGTTCGTGCAGAGCAGCTATTAATTGGTCAATCCACGGAGATTCAGGGAAGCCTACCATAGGTGTCGGCCGCGGCGGTAAAATGAAGGAGATGGACCCGGCCGTTGAGAGTCGTCTCGACCAAATTGTGACAAAGGCGAACAGTACTGGATCATCCAACAGTGTATGGGTTGTACGGAATGAACTCAGGGATGTCCACGGTATCAACCTGTCAAAGTCCACCGTTCATCGCTATCTAAGAGCCAGCAACTTCTACTGGGGGAAAGGTATCCGCAGGTCAATTTTGCATGATACCCCACAAAATGTGAGATTCCGACACAAGTACGTTGAAGAACGTTTTTCCAATCTTAGGAAGGAAAATGGTGGCTATGTCTCAATACGACCTGAAGTATTCCTCGACGAGTCGTATTGTCACCTGGACCATTCCTCATCAAATCGATGGGTGAAGAAAGATGGCATTGTATGTAAACCTCCTCGGCAATCGCTCCTTGTCATCTTCGCTGCATTTGTGGTGTACTATGACAAAGATGAAAAGAAAACCGTCGGAAAGTTTGTCAAGGATAGTGTCCACATTTGGGACGGGAACAGAAAAACACCACTCCAGACCACGAACCATGAGCAGTCCACAGATAGGGAGCGTGCAGACGATCGTAGGGAAGCAATATCCTCTGATCATGATTACCATGGTTACTTCAATCATACGGTGTTCGAGGCTTTGTTCGAAAAGCTCTGGAAGAGCTTGATGCAGATCAGGAAGACGGTACTCGATACCCCCAACGAGCAGAAATTGGGTTACTCCGAATTCTTGTATGTATTTCGTTTTTGCTACAGTCTTCAATTTCAACCTTTGCCTTTGTTAACCGTGGTGATTTTAATAGGGCCGCCAGTTTCATCTTCTGCAAGGAGTTGGTGTCGTCCAGCCTTCCGCCTCAGGTGACCGAGGCTCTATATTCTATTCCGATAAAGGAGCAGATGACAGAAGGCGATGTGCGCTTCATACGAGATTGTGCTTCGGAAGCGAAGAAACAGGATTATGAAGTGTATCTGGACAATTTTTCTGCAGAGAAGGAAGGGATAAAGAGGTGCCTATTCAAGGTACTCCAAAAGTGGGCTGAGCAACCCAATTTTTGGACGGGTATACAGGAATTGGGAAACGAGGCTACATGTACCAACAGTGTCATCGTTCCTATGATTGATGGTATATTGTCTGGTTTTTTGTTCAATAGACTAGAGTAAGTAAGCCTTCATTCTTTGATGCAGAAAAGTAATGTTTTTATTTATTGTTATTATTTTGAAGTGATTAAAAAGTCGCGTTTTTTTTTTTTTTTTTTTTTTTGTGCAGTGATAAAAAGCTCGTCCTTCCCAAATACTGCCAAAACGAGCTCAGACCTGATGTCGCCTGGTCTAAAGGAGGGATACCATTCATGATAGCGGAGGTCAAATACCTCTATCTTGATAACGAAGCTCTGATTAAAGATCGGCGGAAGCTGTTCTGGATGATGAAGCTGCTGGTAGACCTTCATATATTTAACAGGACGGAAAGGCCCCAGGTCATTGGCCTGCTTGTCCAGAGTATGAATTGTCGAAAAACCTTCTTTTTTTTTCTCGTCATTCACTTGGCATTGGCACTGACTATGTAATATCTAATAGATAATAGCATTGAGTTCTTTGTGATGAGCTTAGATCATGAAGCTCTTTATATCCCCAGGTCGATGGGCATATTTACGGTTCCACAAAGCGATGAAGAGTTTGCAACGCTAGAACAAAGCTTTAATGCTTTGCTGGCCGTCCGTGTAGGTGTTTATTTCTTCTGCTTTGCTTTCAATCTTTGGCACAGCTGCGTCTTAATAGTTGATTCCATATACCTTGACATGAACAGCCACATGAAAAAATTATACGGCAAAATAAATTTAAAAAATAGTTGACGCGAAGATAGCATCATCCTCTCTCTTTCTTTTTCTCATTTTTCACAACAATAACAACTTGAAAAAACCACCATGCCTTTAAATTTGGATATCGAGGATAAAGCTATCATCGTTGGAATGCACCTTGCGGGAATGAAGGATGCGGAGATCGCGCTGAAACGTAATGTACCAAGATCAACGGTCTACACTATTATCCAAAGATATTACAAAAGAGGTACCACCGCTCGCGCCCGGGACGACCAAGAGCACTGAGTGAAAGAGATATCAGGAGCATAGTGCGCTGCACAAAGAGAGAAAGGAGAGCCACTCTTAAGGACATCACCAATCAATTGCCGAAGAAAGTGTGCACAAGGACCGTTGCAGAGACATTGCATTCACTGATGGACATTAGAAAAGGATTGAAAACTTGGTCTTGTGCTACTAATGGCGTGGACCATGGAACCTTCGCTGCTAATGAAGTGAAAAAAAACTCAGTAACGACATTGACAAGATTGCTTTTGGATGTTATGGAACAGAATACTGCAAGCAATATCATTACATCAAAATATGTGTTATGATTGGCTAGACCAGGTCAAGGATGGAAAGTTAGTTGAATGTCTAAAAAAAAAGAAAAAAGAAAAAAAAAAAAAAAAAAAACTCTTCAGTATCACTAGTCCACATCCGTAGTATCGGTTCATTTATAGTCATAGCCCATATCCATCCAGTATGCAGACAAATAAAAGTTAATTGAGTATACAAGAGTACAAGTAGGCCCTCATGGTCCCAGGGCTCTCGACAAAGAGTTGTGTAGACATATACTTTTGAAGGTTTTTAAGTTGAACGAGCCGGAGACCATTAAATAATAGTAAGAAGCGCCTATTCTTTATTGGGACATGTGTTTCAGTTATGTCCTGGGTGATTGCACATACTGTGAGGTTGTTAGGCTGAAGATTGACAGGATTGTATCCCGGATCCCAAAGGAAATGACATCGGGTTAAAATACAACATGTAATATATGGAGAACCCAGGCACAGACCTCGTTACGACATCTGTAAATATCAGAAGAGCACATTTACTTTTCCTTTTGCTTAAACATCGGTAAAAATAAGTAAAAACAAAAGTAAAAATTTACTCAAAATAATACTCATGTTCGTATGTTCAGCACATCAATATGATTCACTAGCTGCAGATCGATTCTATATCCTCAAATCATTGGCTTTCATCATACGCACCTCCAGATTCATGGTCTCATATCCACCCGTAGCTCTTTCCGAACGACTATTATGGCAATTCAATGATGAATTTTACTTTGGTATAGTGCTCATCCTTCTTGCTCCATCCATGGATGGGTCTCTTTTGCAGAATGGTAAAGAGTAACCCTTGTCCTGACTAATGTTAAAATATACATCGAGAGGTAGTAAATAACGAGATGGGTAAAAGAAAAGAAAAGAAAAGAAAAGAAAGTTTTTATTACGGCTCTTCTCAATACTCCTAGGTAGTTTGTTTAGTTTTTACTTCTTTCATTAAGGCTATTATCCTTTCAACTCGCCACTCTTTAATCTCTTTTCTATACTGAAATTACCGATTGTTCCACATTGAGGTCTTTGTATTGGTAATAGCTTTCTATATAGTCTTTAAAGAGATCTCTAAAGATGAGTGCATGAATAAGCAGAAGCAGTTTAGGACTAAGGACGAGCATGGAATGTCAAAGAGTTTGTTTGTAAAAAATACAGGTTGAAAATACTTTTCTGATTGTTTTGTTTAGCTCCATCCACTCATCTTTTGCCACCAATTCTTAAAAATTGGCTAATTTTCCTCCTAATTGCATATCGTTCTGACACCTTTCTTCATTCATTCATCCATTTGTAGAATGTCAAATTGGTGGCGTGCTAGTACCTAGCTAGTTTTATATACCAGATCAATGGCAGTTGGGTATGCTCAATTTTATCCTTCCTGATCCACTGAAATTATGGCAAGGAAGATGTTGCCTCTCTCCACAGGGCTCTCTCTCTCTTTCTACATGTTGTTTAGGGAAATGAATTGAGCATTTCTTGATCCCCAACTAGACTGTTGCTCGCCACAAAACACAATAACCCCAGCCCTCAAACTCCTCTTTCTTTTCTTTTCTTTTCTTTTCTTCTTTTTCTTTTTTTCTTTTTCTTTTTTTTTTTTTTTAATCCTCTTCCTTTCTTTCATTTAAACATTTTTCATCACAATTGCACTGTTTTGATTCCTTTTTTATTTCTTTTTTTTTTTTTTTTTTTTTTTTTTTTTTTTCCTCTGCTCTCTCTTCAGCCTTTGTTCTTTGATAATCTACTCAATTGTATACAGTCAAACGCCTCAGCCATGTCCAATAACGATACTATGCTTAGTGAGTAAACATCACACACACACACATATATATATATATATATGATATAAACAATTACAAACATTGCAAAAGGAAGAGGCGCCAGCCTGGGGACATTCTCCGCGGAGAACAATCAGCAACAACAAAGAAAGAAAGAAAGAAAAAAAAAAAAAAAAAAAAGCCGGCGTGGAGAGGCAGTGCATACTTTGCCATCCATTGACAATCACATTGTCTTTTTTTTATTCTTTGTTTTTTTTTTTTTTTTTTTTTTTTTTTTTTTTTTTTTCTTTTTATTTCTCATCCACTTTTTTTTTTTTTTTACTCTTGCATTTCTTACCGGTGATTGAAAACAACGATGGTTAACCATTCCGATTATTCTTTAAACTCTTATTCTGAAGTGAACCCATTTGCGGGTCAGAACATTGGCTACCTCCGGTTAGCTGTGGTCGGCGACAGTGGTGTGGGCAAGACCTCGTTCGCCCGTCAGTTCACGGAGACGTTA